AATTCGGGGCCAATGGTTTACGTGCCGTTTACAAACCATTTTGGGCTGATCTCCCTCACGCAGACATTTTTCTAGCGTTCACGCCAACCTTTTGCCATCAACTTCACAAGGGTGGTTCAAGACCACCTTGTGAAGTGGTGCATCGATATCATTGGGGAGGACGAAATGGACTCACGTTTCAAGGCAATCCCGAATTATCCCAGCCTTCGACACGTCAAGAAAGGGATATCAAGTGTGAAGCAGTGTGACGGGACGTGAACACAAAGAGATGCAGCGAGTATTTGTTGGCTTATGAGCGGAGCAGTACCTAGGTGAGTGCATCAGGAAAACCTCCGGTGTCTTTTTTTAATGCCACTTAATTTCGGAGAAATGAAACCAAAACGTCATTTTTACACTTAATGGACTTTCTCAAAAGTCAATTCAGCGTGCGCCCAATCTCACAAGTCACAATGATTCAAAAAAGTGGCAAAAGTTGAATTAAGTAAAATAAGTATTACACGGCCCATCTAGATTAAGGGGGGGGGGAGGGGGGGGGGGGGGGGGGGGGGGGGGGGGGAAGGGGGGGGGGATTTGGTGACGAGTTCTGAGGCCAGTTATGCTCGTCGAATTCTTCTTCGAGGGGGGCTCCAGTTGGCAGTTACGCTCGTCAAATTCCTCGATCGCTCGCTTGTGAGTGATGGTAGTTACGCTCGTCGAATTCCTCGATCACTCGCTTGTGAGTGGTGGTAGTTACGCTCGTCAAATTCCTCGATCGCTCGCTTGTGAGTGGTGGTAGTTACGCTCGTCAAATTCCTCGATCGCTTGCTTGTGAGTGATAGTAGGCAACGTGGTCTAGTTGTGCTCACCGAGTTCCTAAGACGCAATCTCAAATGCGTGATGGTCTGCGAATTTGTTCACGTAGAATGCTTGAAAAGCGTCATACGAATCATAGTGCTTGAGGTCGCGTGGGATGAACTGTGTTCCATAGATTGGAACAAGGTGCGCGGCGCGATAGATTCGAGTCGACGTGGATGATTCCAACGAACGGTGAATTATCTGTATCAAATGAAGGGCTGGACGATCCACATCCCTGTGTCTTCGTCGGGCCCGGTTCGCTGGCTTTGTCGAACCAGCGTACTACAGCGCATGGGTACGAAATACCTTCAAATGGAATGAAAAAAAAAACACATTATACGGGCTACCTCCATGCCCCCATCCCTTCAACACCTGCATCCGTGTTAACGAACACGCCAGTCATACCGGGGTGCTTCGTTTCTCCAAACGGGACAGGCACGGATGTGTTCCCGCCGCATGCCGCCAATCCCGCTGCGGTCACTGGTGCATAAAACATTGACGACGCAGAGTTGAACACTTGAATTTTTCCATCGAATTGAGGACATCTTGCAAGCGGGATGTCAGAGGGAGCACGCTGGTCGTCTGGGTTTGCTTGCTCGAATAAGAATCGGCGGAGGAGGGTGTAGAGATGGGGGGATACCAAGTTCTGTAGATAAATTAGAGATCGTGCATGCACATTTGCGTTCTGCGCAATGGGAAGGATTATATTAGAAAAGTATTCAATTGAAAATGTGAGCTAACTTACGAATCGTTTTTGCCAACTGAACGTGGGCTTGTACCAGCGTTGGGCTGTCGTCGATTTCACCCTCTTCGTTATCGCCGAGTATCATAACGTCGGGGTTGGAAGGCAGCACCAAAAGATGGTCGTTGTCTTGGTTGGACTCGTGGTGGCAAAAGGATCCTTATTCAAGCACAAATGCTCTACCGCAGATATTTAGCACACGACAACACTTGAATGTACAGCGCAATAAAACTTACTTAATCTTTGAAGCATTGCAGACAGACAGGTGCCGGTTCAACATTCCACGGCTCTGAAATCCACGCGCGCTGCGGCAAGTTTATCTAAGCGCTGGTTTGTCACAGCATTTGACCGAGTGCTTTGTAGCGACTCGATCGTCTCCACGGTTCCTTCACTGCCTTGATGTGCTTTGTCTCCGTGATTGACGAGCAAAGGCCATTCGGCGCACCATAAAGTCGGATAAGGAGGATGTAATGGGAGCACGAGTGTTGTCGAGGGAGGGAGAACGTGGAAACGACGCCGGTGGACTCAAAAATAGCCCTTGTAGTGATGGAATCGGTCGAGAGCATCCTGGATTTGATATAATGTAGATTCCGTAATGATGCTATGCCGTACGAGATAGCAGAATTCAAGGAATGCACGAAACGTGCGCACCACATCAGTTGGGACGTGGCCTTCGATGGCGGTAAATAAACCTAGTAGATTGTTGTTAGTCTGATCAACTTGTGCAAAAATCAACTTGTGCAAAAAACTTACCTTCATAAGCGCTTTCGAATCATCACCTGTCCATTGTTTGAATCCTCGACCTTCTGGAAAGCGTCGAAGGCCTGCGAAGAGGAGGAAACTGCAGCAATTCTTTTATGATGTGAGTTTTGAAACATTTAATCAGGACAAATTGACCTACCTTCGGTCTATATCATCTTGAATTTTCTCTGTCTCTTTCTTACCATGTACGTGTACCAAATACTTTCCAACCCACTCGACCAAGTGATCCTTGAAGGTTCCTTTTATGAGTTGATGCAGGAGATCCGGTGCAATCAACTCATGTATATCAGCGCGAGGGAAGTCGTTTGTAAACGGCTAGAAGGGTGAATCTCGGCCTGCATTAGAGACATATATGAGACTTACAACAAGGTCGCTGACAATCCCGTACTCGTCCCACAGCGCGAGGGACGTTGCAACCTCTTCGATCAGCGCCTCCGTATGGTCACGACACCGACACAACGACTTCTCATCTAAATTCTTGCGGTTGGACATACACCTGTAGTACATTAGTAGTTAGTACTGAGGTAGAGGGCAGAGGATAAAAACACACCTGGGGCACCAGCCGCGCACTATACATGCTAGAAGAACCTGCTCTTCGTAATCTGCGATATACGGACCAAGCCCGTAAATCACACGCCGATAGTGGCCATCACCAAAGCGAACAACCTCTGGTTTGGTCATGCTCAGTCTCAGGTTCTCGAGAATCTTGGCGATGGATGAATGAAACAATTGTCGGCGATATTTCCGATATATTGCATCGGCAGCGTGCTCCTTCGTAGCTTCTCGATTGTAATTAGTACAGAACAACAGGAGGCATATGAAACTTACTTTTCAGCATAGCAAGGAAACCAACAATGGCAACGGCGTCACGATGTGCACGCCGGACGTTGTTGCGCACATTGCCAATCGATACGTATAAGGGATAGTAATCGTTCGCGCCAGTCGCCACCGAAACAGTGGTCTTATCAGATCCGAGTATAACCGGTACGAATGTTGAGCCGAGCGTATCCGGATCTTCACAAATTATGTCCTACCAAAGATTGTTAGTATGGGTCGCTAGAGAAAACAACAAAATAAAACATACGGCTTGATTCCAAGCCCAATCACCGGACATGAAGTCCTGCCATTGTCGTTTGTCGCCGTCAGCTGAGTACTCACGGAAAGGGCGGTAATCCATCTCTTTTTCGTAGTCGGGATTTCCCAACATATTCCGAATCACCTCATGGGGGTCACGGTACCACACATCATGAGACTGGTCCATCCAGGGTGGTACATCGCTTGTTGGCTTCTCCCCAGTGTACCGTACCTTGAACGATTGCCATTTGACATCGCCTAATGGTGTATTGTCGATCGTTCTATGCAAGTCGCGGCAGTCTGCGAACGGCGGCTTGTCGTCGTATTTCAGGAGGGTTGCGGCCCAAAGATCCAATAAAATGTTGATATCCCCGGCGGACATTTGGTTGCGCGCATACAGAAACTCCGCAGTCTCAAACTCGACACGATCCCGGTACGGAGTCCAGTCGTCGGGCGACTTGTCTGGAGGTGGCGCTGGAGGTGCACCATCTTCAAGGAAGTGTCCCGTTGCATCACATGGACACGCTGATATCAATTCTGGTTAGTTGCAACACAAACAGAAAGCTTCAAAGAACGTACCGTTTAGTTTAGGGTGATAGTTACGGTATAATCTATCACCTGGCCCGAAAAAACAGTGTCTACGTCGACCGGATTGTTGGACTTGTCAAATGCCTGTCCCGGGTCAGACAAACCTGCTGGAAGGTCATTATTGTCCGCAGGGTAGTCGTTGTCGCCTGCGGGAGGGTCGTTGGCTGGTAGTTTGGGCTCGTCTTCGACTGTGACAGTATGCGAGACAGTGGCTTGTCTAAACGTTGGGTGGGAAACGTTCCAGTGCTTTTTGCGCCCTCCTTGAGTCTTGAAGTAGCGAGCACAGTGTAAGTAGCCGCATGGAATTTGAAGTGCGTTGTGGTCCTTGCGCATACTCTGAGACATCCCAGCTGGAAGATAAACGACACGAGCACTCGACAATTGCTGGTGGAGAGGCGCTGGGGGTGTGTAATACTAAAAGTAAGTTCAAATCAGACATATTTCAACAGATGCCGATTAGTGAGCAAGCGCCACAGGCGGCGCCCATTGGGGTGAGACTTACGAGTTTTTTCAACCAACTTCTGTTACTTCCTTCTTGCTCCAGCAAAAGTACCATCCCTCCACCCCCAAGTCGCCCATCTGCCCAGTCACAATGTCTTCCACAGAAGCTTCCCGCCGTACCCGTGCATCGAATGCAACCGCCAGACCTGGAAAAATAGTGCTCGACGCACAAACCAAGAGGCGCACCAAGGCACAGAAGGCTGCTGACGATCTTGCCGTTAAAGAAGCCAAAGAAGCGGCAGTCCAAAAGGGAGTTGAGCGCCTTGCTGGTATGCAGGTTGAGATGGAGAAGGTACAGAAGGAGTTACTCACCAACAAGGCGACTCCTGTTCGGCCCAAGCCAAAGGCTCAAAAGGCGACAAAGGCTACTGTAAAGGGAGGTGACAATTGCACTGATAGTGTATTAGATGACGTACCAGACGCTGATGTGGCAGAGGATGCTGCTGAGCCCGTGGATCATGGAACCTCGGGGAAAGGGAAGAAAACTGCTAAGAGAAGTGGAAAGAAATTGATCAGAGACGCTATCAGCAATGTGCAAAAGAAAATCAGCGAGTCAACGTTGATTGCAGAAGGCGATATCAATATCAATAGCATCGACGATAAGCCTAAGGCACGTGCTGATGGGAAAGGCTCCACGCCATCATCGTAAGATTTAGTTCTCCCACCACCACAATGTTGCTCCTAACTGAATCGACACTCTATTTTCTCAATCTTACATATAGCATCAACGCGACCACTCAGAAATTCGCACTAGGTGGCCGAGTGACCAACTGGGTCTCGGGGGTCAGGCCTGGACAGTTGGAGTCAGTATCCCGCCAATCATCCCGCCAATCCAGCACTTCAACCCGAGCACCTCCAACGTCAATTTTCTCGCATGACACTGCTTCCTCAGCAGCAACCTTGGCTGCTCAGCCTCGGACTCAGACTCACATCCCCCCGCCCCCAACTCAAGTTGCTGATTGTATCCCAGAAGATGCCCTTACTGGTGGCTTTGCGGATGAGATTGACGATTCATTGGAGCGTGAGGCTGCTTGCCTGGATAGCAAGCAAAAGAAGGGGAAATCTAAGGTAATTGACCATGAATAATTGGTGCAGTCCGCTAACAATTTTCTTCACAGGTAGCCTCAATTTTTGACGAGGACTCAGACTGCGGCGGGCCCAAGGCTCCCTTCACACAAATACCATCAATAGAATTCGACTCGGACGATGAGCTCATGGATTCATTCACGCAAGAGGATGAAGACTTGCAGGAGCCTAAGGCTCCATTCACACAGATGGACGATCGCATAGCCACGGCGGCCCTCAAGCGGAAGGCAAGTGTCGATTCTGTCTCAGACGATGACGAGCAGTCCCAGTGGTCCATGGACATCGATCGTGATGATGTTGAAGATTTGATCGAGGACTTCGATAGTGAACCGCCACAGGCTAACCCTATCGTAGTGAAAAAGGAGAAGGTTTTGCGCATGACGACTTCGGTAAGTACCCTTGGAACTCAATAGTGTTTATTCTGACACTTATATAGACATCTGCGACCACCTCTAATGCCGACATCAAGCCGCCTGCTCCAAAAAAGGTCAAAGTTGAATCTTCCGGGACTCCACATGCCCAAGCCCAGGCTCCTGCCCGAAAACGCCAGCCGAACGTGGATACTGCACCAGAGCACATGAAATCACGCGGTGCGTATCGTACGGCTGACTTGCCTCCAGCGATGCAAGCGGACCAGCGCTGGGCCAAGACATTCCTCCCTACCATAATGATGTGGGCGGGAAGCTACGAAGACATCTGGAGCATTCCAGATGACGTACTGCTCCATCATGTCCAGCTCGTTTTCAACGTGGTATATCACGAACTCAAGATTGTCGTTGTTCACGGCGGTGTGGTACATTTACTCGTAAGTTCGCCGATTTATGTCTAGCATTAACTGATGTTATATCTTCGATTAGACTGCACAGCGTATTTCAGAATGGCGGAGTAATTTTGGTTCAACGGCCATTGTGATAATCATCAACTTCTTGGCACGCAATTCCGACTGCGACTCCAGCAAACTCGCATCCTCCCTTCTTGCCAGCTGGGCGTTTTTATACGAGGACCCCGATAATATCAACCCCCTCACAGCATATCGTTCACCGTTCCTACTGCAGCTGTATGGTAGAGCGCACCTCAGCGCCATCAATGGTTATGTGGAGATTCCTTCCCTCGACTTGGGAGCACTTGCAACGATCGGGACGTCACGCGTTCTTGCCCTTTCTGCTGCGGCGGTGAGTTTAATTTTAAATGCTTTAATCGCACTCATTTTTTTTCAGCTCGAGCGTGCTCTTGGTATGATCTCCCGCAAGGAACTCAAAGTCGAAGAGATCCTGTTGTCTGCGTCGAGAGGAAAGTTTACGATCAAGCTTCCCAAGGTCCTTAACAAGGCTACAGGGAAAAAGACCAATGCACCATTCTTATTTTCGGCAGCTCGCTGGTCCAAAGCTACTAATTCGTACATCAAGTCTATTTCTAGCAAACCCACTGGCTACGTGGAGGCTACGGTAAAAATGGCACGCGCTATTTTACAGGATGTTGCTGAAACATCGGGCTCGCTCAACGACTACGAATCGGACGAGGACGAGCGTGCTATGATCTGTAAGTTTTATTTATTCCGACTTCGTCTCGCTGACATCATATACTACATTGCTGCAGGATTTGTCTTCGAGTCGTTGTACCGCTGCCGCCGCCCTACAGTAGATATATGTCGCCGCGATCATTGCTTTTGCCCCACCTTTTTCTCCTTATGTTCGAATGGCTCCCAACTTTTCATTTTTGGGAGTCTGCTTAATCTACGCTTATTTCTACTTGTATGCCCCCCTTTCAATAACAATTGTGCCGCTTTGTCTGCTTTTTGTCTGCTTTTTTAAGCGAAATAAGTGTTGAAAAAGCGAATCTCCAGATATTGAGTGGGCTTTTTTAAGTGGCTCACGCTTTTCTCTCAAATGACTTATCGGTCGCTTTTCATGAAATTAAGTGACAAATAAAGTGAGATAAGTAACTTGTGGTTTTCCTGATGCAGGATGAACCTCTTTACCAAAATATTCTCACTCCAAATATTCTCACTCTTCCTCCAAGCATCCAATATCGACGGTCCCCATATCCCTACCCTCCGGCTTGTCCCACCACTCATTCTGCCCACCACTCAATCTTCAATGCCCCAACATGTTACTCGTCATTTGCGTCGTCGCAGCATTGTACCCGGTAGCTCGCATGACCAACATATCAGACTCGAAGGTGGCTTACTTTATATCAACTCTGTATCCATCTTCTGACTTTTCCGCTTCATCTACAGTCATCAGTGGAAAAAACCTTCAAGTCCCTTCCGAGCGCATACCCGCAGGAATCTACGTGTCCATCACACTCGCGAAGAGGAGACGCTGGAAATCAGCTATTCAAGTCCCATCATCCAACAGTTCTGTAGCGTGGGGCGATACCGTGACCCTGTAAGGCAATCCACGTAGACTTGCCGACGCGATTCGAGAACTGATCCTCGGTTTCTAGATCACCATATGCATCATCTAAATTATCGGTCGAGATCAGAGCATCCTTTGAGCTAGGTCGAATGCTAGGCAATGGCGAACTTATTGGAAAACTTGGAATGTCTTGGGATGAACTGCTCCGTCACGGAAATGAGCCTTTCGGTGAGTGACCTGCTTCTCATTCATGCACATCTACTCATGTGTCGTAGAACTGTCCTTCCCACTTGTTCGCGGTGTCTACCCATCTGTCACGTTGAAGGCCGCTGCTGTGAATGGTTGCGGAAACAACAACAGTGAACTGTTGAACGTGAGTGGCGCAAGCCTTTGCACTGTCGACTCCTACTGACAGATCGCAAACTGTAGTCCATCGTCGACTGCGAGATCGCTCGAGACACGGATACGGGTCACACAAGAATTGGTGAATACGTGACAAGCAAGAGGGTCTCTGACCTGAACGATGCCGTGGCACATTTTGAGTTGGTTCTAGAGCAGTGTCCGGTCGACCACCCTGACCGCGCAGCTGCACTGACCAACCTCGCGTGCGCACGCCTTCAAGGGTACATTCACAACGATCTTCAAGACATTGACTCTACTACGCGTCTATTCCGCGACACTCTTGTATTGCGTCCGCAGGGCCACCCTGATCATTCATCATCTCTGTACCATCTCCTTAAAGCATTGATCTGGCGCCACAGTAAGGAGCCTGCCGCTGTCGACATCTGCGAATCTGCTCAAATCTCCCTTGAGCTACTACCTCTCTGCCCAGAGGGCACATATCTTCGGACCATCGCAGAAGGGGCTAATGGCGTGGATTATGTGATCCGTACATGTAACAATCTTCCGATAGACGCATCCGATGAAGGCATCCGCCTTCGACGAATCGTCCTCGAGCTCTGTCCTCAGGGCCATGAACACCGTCCCAGCTCCCTCTCTAAGCTTTCATGGGCACTCGGTACACGATTTGCGCAATGCGGGAGCATTGTTGATGTGGACGAGAGCATACAACTTGGTCGTGAAGCTGTTTCTCTGTGCCCTGAGGGACATCCTGATCGTGGTATCTACTTGAATATCTTGGCTGTCTCACTCGAAGGCTACCGCTTCCGTCACCAGGGCAAATCTGATGACCTCAACGAGGCCATCTCTCTGTATGAGGAAGCACTGTGCCTGAGCCCTGTTGGGTATGAATTTCGTTCTCAACCATTGAACAACCTAGGGGTCGCCCTCCGCAACCGTTTCAAGCAACGCGGTGAGGTAGAAGACATCAACAGAGCTATCAGCCTCCTTCGCGAGGCACTGACATTGCGCCCACCTGGGCATCAAGACCGTGTCACCACACTTTCCAACCTTGCCGTCGCGCTCTGTGCTAGCTATGACAAATCACATGCCAACGAGGATTATAACGAGGCCATCGATTTGTACCGTGAATCAATTCAGTTAATGCGGCATGACCATCCAGAGCGCCATACACCTCTTCACAATTTGAGCTTGGCACTCTGCTCTCGTTTCACGAGAACTCAGAAGATTGAAGATGTTGAGGAGGCCATTGAGCTCTGCCAAGAATCATTGGCGGCTTTGCCATCACTCCACCCAGATAGGTGCCACAGCTACATGCGGCTGCAGGAGGCCTATCTGTCTCGTTACGAGGTGCAATGCAATTCGGCTGATTTGTCACTCGCTGTTGAAAACTTCAGATTGGCGTCAATGCACCCCACTCAAGGATTCCCAAAACGCATCGAAGAGGCTATTGCTTGGACTTTTGCAGCTGAGCAGCATGATCATGGATCTGCATTGGAGGCCTATGCAACATCTTTCGAGCTTCTTGATGCTCATTTGTCAACACGATCATCCACTATTTCGCGGCGCGAAGCGGCTGCCACCTTCCATTATGCCAGTACACTCCCTGCAGATGCAGCATCGTGTGCCTTACGCCGTCATGACCGACAAAAGGCCGTGGAACTTGTGGAGCAGGGCCGTGGCCAGCAGTGGTCACTGGCCTCTCGGTTCAGGACTCCACTCGAGGACCTCGAGTCAGCGAACCCAGATCTGGCTCTCAAATTTTCAACGCTGACCAAGCGCATTTCCGACGCCGCTCAGGGTTCTGCAGCCATCACAGATAGAGCTGCTGCTAATCAGGCAGCAATGAGGTACAGGAGGTGCACAGAGCAGTGGGAAGCTGCAGTAGTGGAAATCCGCAATACTGGAGGTTTCTCGCGATTCCTGCTCCCCTCGTCATATGAAGACTTGCAAGCGGCAGCGCGCGACGGCCCAGTCATAATTCTCATTGCGAGTAATATTCGTGCCATGCACTCATTGTCCCTACGTCAGGGTACCCCTCCATGTTCCTTTCCCCTCTCTCACTCTCACAGATCTCGAGAAACTCAAATACGACTTCGCGATGGCGATACGACATGCATCACTGATGGGCCCAACAGAGTCGAGGACAGACCTGATAGTACTCTTGCGGAAGATATGGGATGAGATCATGCTACCTATTGTCGACGTACTACTCGGCCATGATCTCAAAGTAAAGCGCCGCTCTCGAATATGGCTGTGTCCTACTGCAGCCTTCACATCCATTCCTCTTCACGCAGCTCATCCCTCTCGAACGAAAGCAGACGGAAGTGGGCGGGAACTATCCCTCGAGGATATATATGTTTGCTCTTACACCCCCACACTTTCGGCTCTCATCAGATCTCGACAGGCGATGAAGACGCGTGCGACGAGTCCATCCTTCGTGGCGATTGGGCAAAGTCAGCCGGGCGCAGGGCAAGGCACGGCGCTCGCCACTGTCGACAGCGAGCTTGAGCTCGTCCATAAACTTGTTCCCCCCAATTTTAATTTCAGTACTCTTTCGGGTGACGAAGCTACACAGGCCGGTGCACTCGATGCCTTGCGACGCAACACCTGGGTGCATCTTGCTTGTCACGGAAAGCAGGACCGCGAACAGCCTTACAACTCGCGCTTCGCCATGAGAGATAAGCCTCTCACCCTCCTTGACATCATGGAGAACGACACTCCTCAAGCCGAATTCGCATTCTTGTCAGCGTGTCATACCGCCGTCGGCGATGAAGAGACGCCCGACGAGGTCATCCACCTCGCAGCCGGCCTGCAGTTTTCAGGGTTCAAGAGTGTGATTGGCACGCTGTGGGTGGTTGATGACGAAGTCGCCAAGCACGTTGTTGAAGCATTCTACGAGAATATATTCAAGAACTTGAAGGATGGTGTCTTGGACTGTACGAAGGCAGCCAAAGCACTCAATTATGCTACGCATGGTGTGAAGAAGTTGGTGCCACTCGAGCAGAGGATTGTTTTCATTCACATTGGTGTGTAGTTCTATGTCCCATTGCTTTTGTCTTGTACAGATTTACATGTTGTTGATTTTCGATTCCCTTCTATCCCGGTGCATTTGTTAACGTTGTAGGAATTCTCTCTTGTATAGTAGTCATCTGCTGTTTGGCAAATTGATCAGATTTGTTCTCCAAGACAATGCTTGGCATGTACGGTAACATTTATACTATTGCAGCGGTGTACATTCTTTTGCTCAAGTGCTTCCTGCAATACGAGTTGACCTTCCAACCATTCAATTCAAGTCTTTCTTGGAAAAATGCAGCTATTTGAGTTGTTTTCGCTGATGACTCGTAGTATTAGATAGAGCCTGACGATCAACGCACAAATAACGGGGTCATATGTCGAGTGGCCAATGAGCCGAGAAGGGAGTACTGAAGAAGTGTAGTGAATCAGTCTCATTGTTGAAGCGCTGAGCGAGGAAATGAGAATAAGAAGAGACGTGGAGTCATCATACACGCACAAAGGAAGGGCAGATAAAAATGACGCGGTACATGTTGATGCGACACTGCGACAAAACATACCTTTGGATCCTCTCCAAATATCACGCAATGTCGCTGAAAACACCGTTAAACTTCATTCTCAATAAAGTACATGCACAAGTACAGCGAGGATGTATCACATCGTAGTACCATTATTCGTGCATCATGCATCGTTCCCGCTGTGTGAAGCCTTGCCCTTCTTGTGTCACTCCCATGCGAAACCCCACCTATGCTTCGTCGACGCCGCGTTAAGCCTCCCGAGTTCTTGGTCATCTGCACGAGACAAACAAAGGAGATTAAAGTCAATAGTGCGTCCAAGACATAGGGTTAGCTCCTTCTTCACTACAGTTGGTCTATGCTTGATGCCACGAGTTGCGTGTAATGACAGAAAGATGGGTGCAAAGACCTGGGGTACGTGCGATGATCAACAAGTCGACAACCAAAGCACCTCACCAACGAAATCGAGTGCTTGCGTCGTCCGCGAGGCCGTTGTGAATCGCCACCCATTCTTCCACTTGTCTGGTGTCAACAGCTTAGCTTCCCCCACAGTAAATGATACGGAGACGCCGCTGGAACCAGCTATCGAAAAAGCGCTCTAGCCTACCCACAGGCCACCTTGTTGAAATAAATGGGGGCCATCAGGACAGCGTTATCCGCTGGTCTCGTCGACCTCGTTTCGCTGGAAAGAGTCAGCAAACGGTCAGTGTTCTGATACAACGCTTACCTTGCAACATAATTCACAGATCAAGTCTACTTCATCATTGGGAAGTGTCGCTTGATGCCCGAGTGACTCCTTCATGTCGGTAAGTAATCCGTCGATGATCCGTCGATGAGGCCTAGACCTCCTTCAAAAGATGAGCGCCACAGAATGCTGCATCAGAGAAAGGCGGCGCATGCGCAGGGGAAATCTTTGCATCATCGACCATGGATTTCGTGGCCTGAAATGAGGAAGACCGCTTGAAAATTTCGAACGTCTCACATCGGTCGGGGCAGTTCGTGAAGAGGATGGAGGATCCTATTGTCCAGAACGATACGCCCAAGCTGAACGAATTGTCTGATAAAATCTTCCAGAGAACGTCCGCGATAACTTATGGCACTGTCGAGTAGTGCGGGATCACGAGTCCATAACCTCCTCGTAAATAACATGTTCATGGCAACAAGCACGCGGGTGCTGGTATTGAGGGTGACGAGAGGGAGGAGTCTGCATCAGAAAAATACAGAATATGAGCAGGGCAGGACTCGCATAGCATGCGGTAACAGCATGCTGCACAATCCGCAAACATGCTGGGGAGTATCGAGTCGGAAAACAGACAGGCTCATGCAAAGCGGAGAGGAAGGCGCTCTGTTGAATGTTTATCAACATCAATATAGTTCCTGATATATAGAAAGATACATCTAGTGCCAGTCGCAGAACCTGAGAGCTCCATCCACATATCACTTAACCTGCGAAGAGAACGCATGGGACGCGGCCTAAAATTGACTTCCATGACTCCCACTATCTCACCTGGCAGTTGATCGTACGCATCTGTGATCGGAGAGTATCTGTGTGAGTCGGACTGAACGCTGTGTCTCGTGAGCCTGAAGCTGGCCATTCACTTACGGATTGACGGAAAAACTCTTGCGATTCCTCTCAACAGGCCGAAGCAACTTTCGTATAAATAGTCTTGGAGTGCAAACGGTAAGTGGGTAGTAAGCGCATCCAACGATGGGATGGTAAGAATACTTGAAATTTTGAGATGTCGAGAGCAGTGAAACAATTCTCCAGGATACAAGATCTCTTCGATGTTTGACCTTGTTAGGATCCGAAGCTTACTCTTACTACTTACCACCCATGGCCATTAATATGATTGAATACCACCAGTACTGGAGCTCGCGGCACAGTCTCTGCTTCTCGCTGTCAGCCGCGCTCAAGTCAACGCACCAACAAATGGTACAGCTCTCGCACACCAGCCGGCTCGCAATCAAACTTCAATGAACAGGACCATTCTTGCTCAAATTACATGCCAATGAGGATATTAACGAGGCCATCAAGCGGTACCGTGAATCACTTCGGGTAGGGCCGCAAGATCATCCAGAGCGCCATACAAAGCTTTTAATTTGAGCTCGGCGCTCTGCTCTCGTTTCGCGAACACTTGGAAGATCGAAGATGTTGAGGAGGCCATTGGGTTCTGCCAGGAAGCACTGGCGGTTTTTCCACCACTCCACCCCGACAGGAACTACTCCCACTTCAGGATACGCGAGGCATATATGTCTCGTTACCGAGTGCATCATAAACCTGTTGATTTATCGCTCGCAGTGGAGAACTTCAGACTAGCATCAAAGCATCTTACTCAAGGCTTTCCAGCCCGTATTCTTGAGGGGTATAATTGGACTGTCACAGCGGAGAGGTACAGTCATGCATCAAGTCTCTGCCGCTCTCTAAGCTCCGCCGCTATGTCGACGCATACAATATCCCCGTCAAAGGCCGTATCGACAAGAATGACCTCGTGGATTCCATCATTGCTGCAAAGTCTATCCCACTATATCCTTGTATCGCTGACTTCTTCCAGACACCATCAGACACCCGTCCTCCGCCCCCAACTCAGCAACAAACATCCACATCACCACCCGATTTCCCCCGTCCTGACCTTGAACCTCAGCCAGGATCATACACAACATATACCCCCGAGCCCCCTATACGGCGCCAGACCACATCTGCGCGGCCCCCGTCTCCTCCACCTCCACCTCTACCACAAACGCCCCCTCGACCAGCGCCTTCTTCCACTCCACGCCCATCTCCAGCGGCCAACGCTAGCCCGCCTCCTGCGCGTTCATCGACTTCACCTCGCTCGGCACGTCAGCCCTCCACGCCACCCACGCCTCAACCCCCACCACCACTCTCTACCTTACTGGCAATGTCCCCATCATCCCTCTCGCGTTTACCTATCCGCATGCTGAAACAGATACTGTTCGAGGCACGCGTACGCCTTCCCACTGATATCCTTGAGAAAGGAGAACTCGTGGCGCGCGTTAGTACTTGGCTGGATGAGGAGAGAGCGGCAGCAGAGGAAAGGGATAGGATAGAGAGGGAGGAGAGGGAACAAGAGGAATGGGAACGGCGGGATAGAGAGAGGGCAGCGGAAAGTTCAGCCGTGGAGGCAGACGCAGAAGACGCCCATGTGCATGGGCCAGAAGACCCTGCTGAGAATGTCGAGATGCATGACGAGTCCCAACACCATCATTCCCCATCTTCCTCATCACCTCAACCCAGTTCTCCTCCCAGGACGACATACACGGAACGTTCGGGTTTATGTGTGATATGTCAGGATCAGGAGGCAAATATCGCGATCGTGGGTTGCGGGTGAGTATCTCTCATTTCTTATTACACGCACGGCTTTGGCCAACTCGCCCCTACAGACATTTGTCCACGTGCCGTACCTGCTCAGAACTAGTCCTCGCCTCATCTCGCGAGTGTCCGCTCTGTCGTACTCGCATCGTCACAGAGGCACGACTTTTACGGATATTCAAGACATAGGCATGGGGAACGACGAACTTTTTTTGTCATTACGCATGCAGAGGCTGCAATTGTAGATCATGCCCAGCCATATGCATGCTGTCCTAGTCTGTATTTCTTTGCGTGGTTAAGGTATAGAGATAAGTTCCGAGTGGGACTTACGCTCGTCTGTAACTAATAATCTAACATCATGAACTCATCTCGTCACGGTTGTGCTTATTTGCTACCATCTTAAGTTCAAGCCCAACCTGCCAGTCTGTCATCAATCTGCTCAGCTGATGAAATTCCTAGTGATGTCCCTATCCATCAGTCCGTCATGATTCCGATAAGCTGATCCAGATTCCACCCGACCGCTGCTTGAGGCATCCCCAAACTCCGCCGACGCATTGATCATACACAACTTGCCATCTATGACAAAACAGTTCGTCCTGGCAGTCGGTCCACCTCTCCAGAACGACAATTATGTGGGATGTGCTGCCTTTTCTACTGATGAAAATTGCTGCTAGTACCGGTTGCGACGACATTAAAATGCTTACATGTGATGATGTGGGACGTCCATGTGATCCTAAAAGAAGCGGGCCTTAGTACTCGGGCCGCTCAGTCCAACTCGTATTGACTTGAATCTGCTTTTTTTGCGGCTGCGGACTTCACCACTTTGCTAATATTGCACTACGAAATACAATGGTTTCTATCTATTCCATTGCGGTGTACTACATGACGCGTATGAGTAATACGAGAGTTGTAAGGCCGGGTCAGCACATGCCATCTGCTCCAGCTGACTGATTACCAGCGGTCTAATCCATAGTTGGCCGCTTTCGCTGATTACTGACCATGTCATCGCCCACTTCTTTACCAAAGGCTCTCCCGCTGCCGTGAGTCTCATCTCTTGATCTCGGCGCTTAATGGAATCAGCACCAGCGTCTATCGTGCCGAACACTCATCAATACACGTGCGGCATGCCCTGCACCCTCCCCTCACCCTCTCATTCAATATCAACAGTCCCCACATCCCTACCCTCCATCTTGTCCCATCGCTCATTCTGCCCACCACTCAGCCCATCCTTGATCCTCCGCGTCCCTTGTCGTTTGCGCCATCATGGCCGGTAGCTTGGAAGGTCAATGCATCAGACTCGAAGGTGGGTCACTTTATATCAACATGATATCCATCTTCTGACCTTTACACTATATCTACAGTCATCAGCGGAAAAAACCTTTGTGTCCCCTCCTTCCGCATACCCGCAGGCATCTACGTGTCCATTAAACTCGACCAGACGAGACTCTGGAAATCAACCATTCAAGTTCCATCATCCAACAGTTCTGTAGCGTGGGGCGATACCGTGAACCTGTAAGGCAATCCTTTCAGGCCCGATTTCGAGAACTGATCCTTTGTTTGTAGACCATCACATGTGTCACCTCAAGCATCGGTTGAGATCAGGGCATCCTTAGAGCTCAGTCGGATGCTAGGCAATGGAGAACTTATCGGAAAACTTGAAATGTCTTGGGATGAACTGCTCGATCACGGAGATGAGCCTTTCGGTGAGTGACCCGCTTCTGATTCACGTATATCTACTAATGGGTCGTAGATTTGTCCTTCCCACTCGTTCACGGTGTTCACCCTTCCCTCACGCTGAAGGCCGCATCTGTGAATAATTGCGGAAACAACAACGGTGAACTGTTGAACGTGAGTGACGCCAGCCTTTGCACTGTCGACTTTTACTGACAGATCGCAAACTGTAGTCCATCGTTGACTGCGAGATCGCTCGAGACACGGATGTGGGTCACACAAGATTTGGTGAATACGTGACAAGCAAGAGGGTCTCTGACCTGAACGATGCCGTGGCACATTTTGAGTTGGTTCTAGAGCGGTGTCCGGTCGACCACCCTGACCGCGCAGCTGCACTGACCAACTTCGCGTACGCACGCCTCGAAGGGTACATTCACAAGGATCGTCAAGATATCGACTCTACTACCTGTCTTTTCCGCGACGTTCTTGCATTGCGTTCGCAGGGCCACCCTGTTCATCCTTCATCTCTATACCATCTCCTTAAAGCATTGATCTGGCGCTACAGTCAGGAGCTTGCCGCTGTCGACATCCGCGAATCTGCTCAAATCTACCACGAGCTACTCCCTCTCTGCCCAGAGGGCACATATCTTCGGACCAGCGTGGTAGGGGCTGGTGGCTTGGATTATGTTATTAGCGAGTGCAACAATCTTCCGATAGACGCATCCGATGAAGACATCCGCCTTCGACGAATCGTACTCGAGCTCTGTCCCCAGGGCCATCAACACCGTCCGAGAGCCCTTAACCAGCTTTCGCTGTCACTCATGATACGTTTTAGCCAATGTGGGAGCATTGTTGATATAGACGAGAGCATACAACTTGGTCGCGAGGCTGTTTCTCTGTGTCCCGAGGGACATCCTGATCGTGGTCTCTACTTGAATAACTTGGCTTTCTCACTCCGCTCCTACCGCTTTCGTCACCAGGGCAAATCTGATGACCTCAACGAGGCCATCTCTCTGTATGAGGAAGCACTGTCCCTGAGCCCTGTTGGGCATGAATCTCGTGATGCACTATTGGACAACCTAGGAGGCGCCCTCCTCGATCGTTTCAAGCAACGCGGTGAGGTAGAAAACATCAACAGAGTTATCAGCCTCTATCGCGAGGCACTGACATTGCGCCCACCTGGGCATCAAGACCGTGACACCACACTTTGCAACCTTGCCGTCGCGCTCCAAACCAGATATGGCAAATCACATGCCAAGGAGAATCTTAACGAGGCCATCGAGTTGTACCGTGAATCAATTCGGTCAAGGCAGCATGATGATCCAGAGCCCCATAAAACTCCTTTAAATTTGAGCTCGGCACTCTGCTCTCGTTTCACGAGAACTCAGAAGATTGAAGATGTTGAGGAGGCCATTAGGCTCTGCCAAGAATCATCGGTGGCTTTGCCATCACTGCACCCAGATAGGTACTACAGCTACATGCGGCTGCAGGAGGCCTATCTGTCTCGTTACCAGGTTCAATGCAATTCGGCTGATTTGTCACTCGCTGTTGAAAACTTCAGATTGGCGTCAACGCACCCCACTCAAGGATTCCCAGAACGCACCCAAGAGGCCATTGATTGGGCTTGTGAAGCAGAAGTCTATCAACACGGATCTGCCCTCGAAGCATACCGAACATGTTTGGATCTTTTTGACAACCATGTAATGACGCGGTCCTCAATTATCTCGCGGCGCGATGCTGCAGCTGCATTTCGCGGCGCACAATCACTGCCCGTAGATGCAGCTTCATGCGCTATTCGTCATAATGATCTGCGAGGAGCGGTTGAACTCGGGGAGCGGGGTCGCGGTCAACAATGGTCGATGGCCTCTCGACTCAGGACTCCATTGGATGACCTCAAGTTTGCAAGTCAGTCACTAGCTCACAAACTCTTGGAGCTCAACAAGCGCCTGTCTGATGCTCAAGGTTCTGCAGGCAGCACAGATCGAGCTGCTGCTGACCGGGCAGCGATAGAATATAGGAAAATCATGACGGAATGGGAAGCTACGGTTGCGGAGGTTCGCAACATTCAAGGTTTCTCGCGGTTCCTCCTCCCTCCATCGTATGAAGACTTGCAAGCGGCAGCGAATGATGGCCCAGTCATCATCCTTATCGCGAGCAAATACTCGTGCAATGCCCTCATTGTCCCGACATCAGGACAACCGCATCATGTTTCCTTCCCTTCTGTCACTCTCGCAGATCTCTCAAAGCTCAAAGACGACTTCGCGATGGCGATACGACATGCATCGCTGATGGGCCCAACAGAGTCGCGGACGGAGTTGATAGTACTCTTGCGGAAGGTATGGGACGAGATCATGCTACCTATCGTCAAGGTACTACTCGGGCATGATCTCAAAGTCAAGCCCCGCTCTCGAATCTGGCTATGTCCAACTGCAACATTTACCTCCATTCCTCTTCACGCAGCTCATCCCTCTCGAACGAAAGCAGACAGAAGTGGGCGGGAACTATCCCTCGAGGATATTTATGTTTGCTCTTACACCCCCACACTTTCGGCTCTCATCAGATCTCGACAGGCAATGAAGACGATGCGGCGTGCAACTCCATCGGTCGTGGCGATTGGGCAAAGTCAACCAGGCGCAGGGCAAGGCACGGCGCTCGCCACTGTTGACAGTGAGCTCGAGCTCGTCCATAAACTCCTTCCCCCCAATGTCAAGTTCACCAGTCTTTCTGGAGAAAAAGCTACACAGGCTGGTGCGCTCGATGCTTTGCGACGCAACACCTGGGTGCACCTCGCCTGTCACGGCAAGCAGGACCGCGAACAGCCTTACAATTCGCGATTCGCCATGAGGGATAAACCTCTCACCCTCCTTGACATCATGGAGAATGACACTCCGCAAGCTGAATTCGCATTCTTATCGGCGTGTCATACCGCCGTCGGCGACGAAAAAACTCCCGACGAGGCCATCCACCTCGCAGCTGGCCTGCAGTTTTCAGGGTTCAAGAGTGTGATTGGCACGCTGTGGGTGGTCGATGACGAAGTCGCCAAGCACGTTGTTGAAGCATTCTACGAGAATATGTTCAAGGACTTGAAGGACGGTGTCTTGGACTGTACGAAGGCAGCCAAAGCACTCAATTATGCTACGCATGGGGTGAAGAAGTTGGTGCCGCTCGAGCAGAGAATTGTTTTCATTCATATTGGTGTATAGTGCTTCGTCTGGTACAGATTTACATGTTGTTGGTCTTTGATTCCCTTTCATCCCTGTCTTTGTTGACGGTATAGGAATTTTCGTGTGCTTTTAGCTGACTTTTCTCGCAATATTTCTCTACTGTAGAGATCGATCAGATTCGAAATATTTTGTCTGTCGCGTAGGTTCTTTTCCTCGAGTACGTACAACACGACTGTGAATAAGTTCCCTGCGCTACGTAGTACGAGTTGACCTTCCACCCATTCAATCCAAGTCTTTCTCCACCTCTTAAAGCCCAAAGACACCTGGAGGGCGCCGCTTTCTCGATGTCAAATACCGGGCGAAAGAAAAAAGATGCGCTAGTGATAGGTCGCTTTGACCGAGTGGAGAGTGATGTCCACGCAGACGGAATTGATCGTGTCTCTCAATATCCTTCTCTTACGAGTTGAGATAGACCTCCGATCATCGAGGTCGAAGCGCTGGAGTACATACAACAGGAGCAGGAACCGTACGAGATCTTGAATAAAGTGGAGTGGAGAGTTGACGCGACAATGAATCGAGATCGAGGGTGTTCTTACAAACCAGAAGTACATCATGATTACAGGACGGCAAGATAATCAGATTACTGAGTCCGCGTCAGGAACCTCATTTGCCAATCAGGCCTCTATGTCCCGTTTGCGATGTTACGGATGGTGATAAAATAGAGCTCGCCTGGATTGAATATTGAATGACTTACCAGGCCCCAGTATCATATTGATGCAAGATTTTGCTGCAATTGCAGGGATGCTAGTGATGCATCATCGCTGCAGTACTTTGGTGCATCACCTAATGCATCATTGATGCATCACTTATGCCATCCCCAATAGGTATGGGAACTTCGTCACTACACCCAAAACATAACCATTTCCGGTCATCTCCTGGATCTCAACATTTCCCACACTGCTCCCCAGCACATTCCTGCCCACCACCATACCACATCCACCTGTCTACTGTAGAAAATGATTAGTGTATGATATGTACATATAATAAGTCACAATAGAACGCTTTTTTTGTCTGTTTTTGTCCCAACACAAGCTCCAGAAACCTACACATATAATACAGGAAAAAAACATATCAAAAACACATTCGCATTTTTGCCCCTTCAATGGTAGAATGTCTTAACACACTATTTATGTGTTTGCTAGTATATTTGAGCCTAATCCACCGCTTTTTTGACCCTCTGAAGGCCCCTACACCACCAGATGTAGCATGCACACAAAAAATAACAAATAGCTTCGCACTTTTTCAGTTTTAACTATATAGACTTGAAAATATGATCCCTAGAAGCTTATAGAGATCAGCGATGTCTTGGCAGTGACTCAGTATACTTACTACTGGTACTTCTATTGCAAAGGGGTCACCAAAATTCCTTGATTATTCACATAATGCAGTAACATATACCCATCTCAGACGGGCAGCCAGGCGTGACAATGTGCCGATAGAGATGGGCCACCCGGTGCTGGCCCATGGCAATAATTGTACTGTGTTAGACGAGTGGGCCAAGGGGGTGGAGTGTCCAAGGCAAACAGATGGGCCGGGTGTATATAGTATAGATGGTAGTATAGCAATGTACTATATAGGAAATTATGAATAGTAGTAGTGAATCCAGTGTGTGATAGATGAGTGGGCCAGAGGAATGGAGTGCAATATAGACGAGTGGGCTGGGGAACTGGGGTGTGATGGAGACGAGTGGGCTGGTAAATGAGGTGCAATGGAGACGAGTGGGCCGGTACATAAGGTGCAATGAAGATGAGGGGGCCAGAGAATAGGGTGCAATTGAGATGAGTGGGCTGGTATAGCAGGTGCAATGGAGATGGGTGGGCCGGTAAATAAGGTGCAATTAAGACGAGTGGGCCGGTATAGCAGGTGCAATGGAGACGGGTGGGCTGGTATAGCAGGTGCAATGGAGACGGGTGGGCCAGTATAGCAGATGCAATGAGGACGAGTCGGCCGGCATTATTGGGTGCAATGAAGACGAGTTGGCTGGTGATATGGGGTGCAATGAAGATGAGCTGGCCGGTGATATGGGGTGCAATGAAGACGAGTGGGCCGGTGATATGGGGTGCAATGAAGACGGGTGGGCCAGCATGATAGGGTGCAATGGAGACGGGTGGGCCGGTATTATGGGGTGCAACAACGACCGGTATTTATGTAACCGGTTGCTTGTGGTAAAATAGCACTCAATCCGGTGATTCCACCGGTGGTCTGATCATGTAAAATGGTCAAGATTTGACAAAGTTATGAGTGCTACAAGAAAAAGTCACAAAGTCAGAGGATATATGATATCTAGACCATTGTGACCGGGATTTTTCAACCGGTAGTTATGTGACCAGTTGCTTGTGGTAGCATAGCACTCAATCCGGTGATTCCACCGGTGGTCTTACCATGTAAAATGGTTAATATTTGACAATGTTATGAGCCTTACAACAAGAGAAAGTCACAAATTCAGAGCATATGTGATATCTAGACCATTGTGACCGGTTGCTTGTGGTAATGTAGTACTCAATCTGGTGATTCCACTGGTGGTCTGACCATGTAAAATGGTTAAGATTTTACAATTTTATGAGCCTTACAACAAGAGAAAGTCACAAATTCAGAGCATATGTGATATCTAGACCATTGTGACCGGTATTTTTCGACCGGTAGTTATGTGACCAGTTGCTTGTGGTAACATAGCACTCAATCCGGCGATTTTACCGGTGGTCTGATCATGTAAAATGGTTAAGATCTGACAAAGTCATGAGCCCTACAAGAGAAAGTCATAAATTCAGAGGATATGTTATATCTAGACCAGTGCGTCTCCAGCTCTACCTTAGGGTAGTTTACCTCTGTTCCATTTCTACTCCAGACTTGTCCACAGCAGTCTTACTCTGGGCTTCCTTGAACCTCTGGAGTTCCGCCGAACTCCCCTAGTGTCTGACCTCCAAAAACCTCTGGACTTTGTTGGACTTCCCTCCTGCCTCTCAGAAATTAAGGGCACATACTTGGGTAAGGGGTGCAGCACACAAGCTGAAGTCAAGTCCTTTGAGTTCTCCTTCCTTTGAGCATGACCTTAACATCCACAGACAAAACCTTGTGATGCTGTGTACTCACCCTCTCCTGGTGGTCCATCCTCTGGGAAAGGTTTTCCTACAGGAACACAGCTGCAGAAAGATATGGGGACCATTCCTGGACATATTTAGAGTATGTCCACCAGGTTGGTACATCAGGATACCTACAGAATCCTTCTATACAGGCTAAAACTTCTAAGATTGCAGTTGTTGCATTTTTGGTGTTTTCCCCTACTTTACCATTGCATAAATGATCCAGACTACTCATATATTATCCTTACTACATATATACCTACTTCTCATCCCAAGGATCAGTTAGAAATATGGTATAATATTGTTATCTAAGGGAAAGGGGGTATGTGTACTGATAAGGGGCCTACATTCTCCAATGGACACAATCTAGTAATTAGATGCTTGCAATATATTCTAAGCATGGTCAATATCATGGTCTCAGATTTATAAAAGGATCCACTAACAGTTGAGAGCTAGGGCAGTGAAATATCTCTGAAATAGAGTGTGGGAAAGTCCAAAAGCCCAAAACATCGAAACTCACCAGTTTGGTGTATATGTAGTGGTTGGACTTTTACTTACCAATCCTAATATTTCCTCACCACACTCTTCTACAAAGACTTTACCTTCAGGGCAATGTGTATTTTAGGTTCATTATGTAGTCTACTATACATACTACTGCATTTTTAATAAAATCTTTGGTGTGTGTGATATATGTCAGTGACTTTCAGTGACAGGGGTAAATTGTCATATGTCAAGCCTATGTTGTTTTACTTATCTTACAGTCAATACTTGAGGGATCTTTCCAGAATTTTAGGACCATGACTAGGAATATACATGGGACATATCCCAAGTGTCTGATTACCAATAACATCCTTGATAGTGTTGGAGGGTTCTTATCAGTTATGTTTTTATGTATATATGCTATATTGTTTGATGTAGCCCTTCAGGGGGTCAACTAAGTGGTGGAATATGTTAATATATACTCCTAAATATGTTTTGACAGTGCTAGAACACTCTCCTATCAAAGGGGCAAAATGGAATCCCCTGATTGAGTGCTACATTACCACAAGCAACCGGTTGCAAAAATACTGATTACAATGGTCCAGATATAAGCTGATACAACACTGTATCCTTTGAATTTATGACTTGGTCTTATAAGGCTCAGAACTTTGTCAAATCTTAACCATTTTACATTATCAGACTACCGGTAGAATCACCAGATTGAGTACTATATTACTGCAAGCAACTGTTCACAAAAATACCGGTCACAATGGTCTAGATATAACATCCTCTAAATCTGTGGCTTTATCTTGTAAGGCTCATAAGTTTGTCAGATCTTAATGATTTTGCATGGTCAGACCACCAGTGGAATCACTGGATTGAGTGCTATGTTACCACAAGCAACCGGTCACATAAATACCGGTCAAAAAATACCAGTTACAATGGTCTAGATACAATATATCATAATATCCTCTGAATGTGTGGCTTTCTCTTGTAAGGCTCATAACTTTGTCAAATCTTAACCATTTTACATGGTCAGACCACCGGTATAATCACCGGATTGAGTGCTGTATTACCACAAGCAACCAGTTGAATAAATACCAGTTGAAACATACTGGTCACAATAGTGTAGATATCATATATCCTCTAAATTTATGACTTTCTCTTGTAGGGCTCATAACTTTGTCAAATCTTGACCATTTTACATGATCAGACCACTGGTAAAATCGCCGGATTGAGTGCTATGTTACCACAAGCAACTGGTCACATAACTACCGGTCGAAAAATACCGGTCATAATGGTCTAGATATCACATATGCTCTGAATTTGTGACTTTCTCTTGTTGTAAGGCTCATAACATTGTCAAATATTAACCATTTTACATGGTCAGACCACCGGTGGAATCACCGGATTGAGTGCTATGCTACCACAAGCAACTGGTCACATAACTACCGGTTGAAAAATCCCGGTCACAATGGTCTAGATATCATATATCCTCTGACTTTGTGACTTTTTCTTGTAGCACTCATAACTTTGTCAAGTCTTGACCATTTTACATGATCAGACCACCGGTGGAATCACCGGATTGAGTGCTATGTTACCACAAGCAACTGGTCACATAACTTCCGGTTGAAAAATCCCGGTCACAATGGTCTAGATATCATATATCCTCTGCCAGTGAATTTGTGACTTTTTCTTGTAGCACTCATAACTTTGTCAAATCTTAACCATTTTACATGATCAGACCACCAGTGAAATCACCGGATTGAGTACTGTTACTAGAAACAACCGGTCACATAAATACCGGTCACAATGGTCTAGACATGATATATCCTCTGAAATTGTCACTTTCTCTTGTTGTAAGGCTCATAACTTTGTCAAATCCTAACCATTTTACATGGTCAGACCACTGGTGGAATCACCGGATTGAGTGCTACGTTACCACAAGCAACTGGTCACATAACTACCGGTTGAAAAATCCTGGTCACAATGGTCTAGATATCATATATCCTCTGACTTTGTGACTTTTTCTTGTAGCACTCATAACTTTGTCAAGTCTTGACCATTTTACATGGTCAGACCACCAGTGGAATCACCAGATTGAGTGCTATGTTTTACTATAAACAACCGGTCACATAAATACCAGACACAATGGTCTAGACATGATATATCCTCTGAAATTGTCACTTTCTCTTGTTGTAAGACTCATAACTTTGTCAAATCTTAACCATTTTACATGGTCAGGCCACCGGTGGAATCACCGGACTGAGTGCTATGTCACCACAAGCAACTGGTCACATAACTACCGGTTGAAAAATCCCGGTCACAATGGTCTAGATATCATATATCCTCTGACTTTGTGACTTTCTCTTGTAAGGCTCCTAACTTTGTCAAATCTTAACTATGTTACATGGTCAGACCACTGGTGGAATCACCAGATTGAGTGCTATGTTACCACAAGCAACTGGTCTTGTAAATACCGGTCAAAAAATACCGGTTGCAATGGTCTAGATACAATATATCATAATATCCTCTAAATTTATGGCTTTCCCTTGTAGGGCTCATAACTTTGTCAAATCTTAACCATTTTACATGATCAGACCACCAGTAAAATCGCCGGATTGAGTGCTATGTTACCACAAGCAACCGGTCACATAAATACCGGTCAAAAAATACTGGTTGCAATGGTCTAGATACAATACATCATAATATTCTCTAAATTTATGGCTTTCTCTTGTAGGGCTCATAACTTTGTCAAATCTTAACCATTTTACATGATCAGACCACTGGTGGAATCGCCGGATTGAGTGCTATGTTACCACAAGCAACCGGTTACATAAATACCGGTCGTTGTTGCATCCCATAATACCGGCCCACCCATCTCCATTGCACCCTATCATGCTGGCCCACCCGTCTTCATTGCACCCCATATCACCGGCTGGCTCATCTTCATTGCACCCCATATCACTGGCTGACTCATCTTCATTGCACCCAATAACGCTGGCCGACTCGTCCTCATTGCACCTCCTTTACCGGCCCACCCGTCTCCATTGCACCTGCTATACCGGCCCACTTGTCTCAATTGCACCCTATTCTCCGGCCCCCTTGTCTTCATTGCACCTTATGTACCGGCCCACTCATCTCCATTGCACCTCATTTACCGGCCCACTCATCTCCATCACACCCCAGTTCCCCGGCCCACTCGTCTATATTGCACTCCATTCCTCCGGCCCACTCATCTATCACACACTGGATTCACTACTACTATTCATAATTTCCTATATAGTACATTGCTATACTACCATCTATACTATATACACCCAGCCCATCCGTTTGCCTTGGACACTCCACCCCCTCGGCCCACTCGTCTAACACGGTACAATTATTGCCATGGGCCGGCACCGGGTGACCCGTCTCTATTGGTACATTGTCACGCCCGGCTGCCCGTCTGAGACGGGTGAATTCACTGAAGGGGCTCAATTATTCCTTGATTTCATGGTGACTCGCGAGGAATATTTCTCAATGCAGCACAAAACGAAAATGATAGAGATCAGTCTTTTTTTCTTCTCGGCGGCAACTACTACGCACTGTCACTTCCATTGCAAAGAAATATCTCGTTTGCGAGGAACGATTTCTGCGGATGATGCATTTGGGTTTGATTTGGTTGATTTCTGATATTTAGTGCTGATGCTGATCTGTTCATAATTCTATCTTCGTCGAGAACGGACCTTGGAGCTAGGAATCGTTTCAGACCACTAGGCTAGATATGGTGCCCACATTATCTTCACTTGTGAGACCACCTGCTGTACAAACTTACGATCTTCACTGTCATTTTGGATGCAGTGGAATATCCGTCAACTTCACCTCATCAGATTTAAAAGAGGGGCGAAGGACATGTCACAGTCCAGATCTGTAGCTAGTGGGTAGAATAAAGTTGAAGTTGAAGTTTGAACATTAACACTTACTATAAGGGGGCTGACTGGCATTATGAAAGTGTCCCTCGTGCAACAATGCAGTATCTTATTTAATCACCGTTGAGAAATCGACTGATATCTATAAAAGCCCTCTCGTACCACATAACAAACATTCCTTGCAAGCGAACACGAGGAATGTATGTAACTTCTTTTGCAATGGAAGTGCTAGAGCGATGTACCTGGCAGCTTTGTCACAATGGGGAATCATGAGGCAGTGAGTTACAGTAACAGCATGGTTCACCTGGATGGGTGCTCTGGACAGCAGAATGCTGAGCCTGCACGGACGCACATACAAAAGATGTTGCAATCGCAGGGTTGAAGACCAATTCACTCTCATTCCCTCATCACCAACAACAAATTGAATAGCATCATGCCAGTATCGGTGACAGTCCACGGTGCTCTTAGACATGTCGCGACCAACCGGATGTTAATGTCACTGGGCAATGTCACGGCAGCCGCACTTGACGATGATGACTTTCCCCCGCCAGATATGATGGTAGGCTTCTATTATATTGGAGAAATGAGCCGAGCCTGGTGCTGACAAGGATATCGATAGTGGAAGGTGACATGTACATATGTCCTCCCGGTTGCAATGGTGGCGGATCGGATCACCCAGGAGGGGGGTATTTTCCTCGGATGGGATGTTACTGTCAGTCTCTGCAAGATAAAGTGTTCTGATTCAAATCTCACCTATTTTCCAGAACCCCGGGAATCCGACGATGCTCGATGGTGGCAGCGAATTTGTTTGGCGGTGTGGCCAACTAGTACAAATTCTTGGAGGTCAACAGGTATCGTGCGTATCAGGTGGTCATTCAAACCTGTCTCAGACTGCTGATGTGGACATTATGATAGTTTGCAATTCACTTCCACTCCCCTCCCCGGCGTCAATGTTGATCGTTACTTGAGGGTCCAACAACAAGGTGGTGTAGGTCACATAGCCTTCATGTACCATAACTGTACTGACACATCATCATCATCATCATCATGCACCTCAGAATTTGTTGTCGAAGCGGCAATTGTACAGCCAGGTGAGGCGATTCCCCTCGATGGGCAGTGGGAGTGAGTGGTCTAGATGTGTTGGCGATTGTTGATAACTGAGAGATTAGCTAGGCTGTGTTCTACAAATGTGTACTTCTATACGTTACTGTTGAGATCCGAGGCAAAATTTTGTCCCGTGCGGAGAATCTGCCAGTAAGGGACGACAGTCTTGACTACTTACAACATGTTCGCCTCATCAAAGTTTAGTCTGTCCATGAATACATCCCACACAACCAGAGAGTACAAGAACATAATTAATTCTTGACAGTTACAGTTGTTTTCAATATTTATGAAAAGTGGGAACTTATCAGTCCCGCTCTCCACCACAACTCTCCAATGGACACCTTCGAACAAATTATTATTGCACTCGAAGACAGACTCGACAAGACTCGTAGCCAGTCTTTCTGTATCGATTGAGTTACTAACATCCCGATCTGATGTTTTGTATTCAGTAACTGCCAGTGCGTCCAGTAAGCAACATTGACAGTTCAAGTCCCTCCCACTCGACGAGTTCCACCGCAATGCCAACGCATACAACATACCCGTCAAAGGCCTCATCGATAAGGATATTAATGTCCTCATGAATTCCATCATTCCCTCCCACAATCATAGTTTTTTTTTGCTAACACTGACAGGCACCCTCCCCCCATCCTACTATCACACCCTTGCTCCCCAAGCACCATTCTGTGCGCCCCTGTGGACTCTTTAGCACCTGTGCACTGCCTCCGACTCAGCAACACACTTCCGCACCACCGCCTGAGTTTCACCGCCCTGGCCTTGACCCTCAGCCAACATCATACAGAATGCATACCCCCAAGTCCCAAAGACAGCGCCAGACCCCTCCTATGCAGTTCCCGCCCCCTCCACCTCAATCACAGCCATGATTCAGGACAGCCTCACAGCCACAACTGCCGCCTCGATCAGCACCTCCCTCCACTCCACACCCATCTCCAGCATATACCACTTGCCCGCCTCCAGGTCCATTAACTTCACCCCTCTCGCCACCTCAGCCCTCCACACCTCAACCCCTGCCCCCCTCCTTGCAATGTCCCTCTTGCGTTTACTAATTCACGCGCTGAAGCAAAACCGACATACTTGAGAAAGGAGAACTCATGGCGCACGTTAGTACTTGGCTGGAGGAGGAGAGAGCGGCATCATATGAAAGAGATAGGATAGAGGGGGGGGGGGGGGGGGGGCAAGAAGAATGGAAATGGAAGGATAGAGAGAGGGAGGCGGGAAGGTTAGCCATGGAGGCCGAGCAAGAAGACACCCACATGCATCATGATGCATGTGCATGGCCCAGAAAACCCTGCCCAGAAGGTTGAGATGCACCATGAGTCTCGTCAATATATTTTGCCGTCTTCGTCATCACCTCAGCCCCATTCTTCTCCCAAAACGACATTCATGGAGTGTTTGGGTCTATGTGTGATATGCCAGGATCTGGAGGCAAATATTGCGATCGTAGATTGTGGGCGAGTATCGATTCGCTTGATCTTGCAGACAGACTGATACCCCATCCGACCTATCTGAGAGACTCTTTGTTTTGGAGTGGCCCTGCAGTTCTTAACATCGACTTGTGCCACCTTCCACTATCAATATCACCTGTCAGCACCAGCAAGCGTGGCCACAACAATCTTACTGTTCTCTGACGTTAACATGCACGAGTTTCTTGTACTTGACATGTGTAAGCACACCCTCAACCATGAACGACATGAAGCTATTCGGCAAGATAGAAGAAAATGAAAATGACACCTGAGACGCAGCCAAATAAGAGTCCGCGACAGATGCTGCTCAAATTGGGGGACATACTTGAAATCAATACATTCATAAATATGTCTCGGGATATGCATCGCATCTACCCATAGAACTTTTCTGACCGTGTCTCAGGTGTGAGTGATCTTCAAACCTGCGATTACAACATTATTCTCATGTGCGTCCTGTGCAGGCTCGGCAACTCTGCTCAATTATGTGTGCCGGTGAGCCCCACACGCACCCCTGGATATTAATCATGTAAGTAATTTGATATTTCAATCCAGATGAGCTCATAGGGCCCTAGTATCTCAACACCATCTGTAACACCGCAGATAGTACTTAGAGGCCTGATTGGCAAATGAGGTTCCTGACATGGACTCAGCAATCTGATTATTTTGCCGTCCTGCAATGTTGTACTTCTGGTTTGTAAGAACATCCTCGGTCTCAATTCATTGTCGGTGAGATAGGAGGGAACAAGAGTGAGTTGGTCTTCGAACCTGAAATTGTAACATTGTTCATATGTGCATCTTGTGCAGACTCGGCAGAATTCTGCTGTCCCGAGCACCCCTGAATTATGTAAATCATACAATCCAGGTGAGCTTAGTGAAAGTCTAACTCATCACCTCGTGATCAGCCATTGTAACCAAGTTGGTAAATAAGAACATCACCACTGACACTTCCATTCCAAAGAAGTTGCATACATCCCTCGTGTTCACTTGCGAGGCAAGAGGCATTGTATGGATCAGTGATGTCTCGGCAGTGACTATACTATGGCACTTCCATTGCAAAAGGGGTCACAAAAATACCTTGATTATTCGTCAATTTCGGTGACTTGTAAGGAATGTTTCTCTATGCAGAACAAGAGGAAGATAATACCAAAGACCAGTCATTTTTTTCTTGGCGGCAACTACCAATAGGGTCTGTTACGCTGGCACTTCCATTGCAAATGAAATCTAGACGACGTGGCATAAGAGCATTTTGATAAAGGTCAGTCTTTTTTTATGGCGGCAACTACTGCGCACTGGCACTTTCATTGCAAGAAATATTTTGTTTGTGAGGAATGATTCCACACAAGAGGATTTGTTCTGTCAGTTGGCTCAACATGTTCCAGTTGAAATCTACCAACTCATCTCAGGGTTCATATCAAACCTGGCCCGGCCATCGTCCATAAGACAGACTCCCTGTAGTCTCCCCTAGCTGTGCCTACGTATTTGAAGTTCAACGATCAATGTATACCTTTGTAGATGATTCCTGTAGATGATTCATTCGCACTCGATTCCCCATCTGGTTGATTTTCTGATATGTGGTGCTGATGCTGATGCTGATCTGTTCGTAATTCTATCTTCTTCGAGAATGGACCACCAGGAATTGTTTCAGACCACCAGGCTAGATATGGCACTCGCATTATCTTTGCTTGTGAGACCACCTGCTGTAACAACTTACAATCTTCACTCTCAGTTTGGATCTTGTTTTTGAATTGTTGTTTATCGTCCACTGGGGCTGGGCCCTACGTATCAGTTTGGATGTAATGAAATGTTCAGGCGGGGGGTGTGATACTTCACCACAATCCGTCAACTTCACCTCATCAATGCTGCTCATTTTGAGCATGCACAAACAAATACAATTGTAACCTGTATGTATTCCTGTCATGATGTCTGTCTTACTGAAGTGTGGCATCGTCATCATCGACCCCGTCGACAGGAAGAATGCTGAGTACATAGATCAATCCTCGGGCATAATCTGCAAAGGATACTCTAGATCTGAAGCTAGTGGGTCGAATAAATTCAAGTTGAAGCTTGAACGTTAACACTTACTACAAGGGGGCTGATTGACATTATGAAAGTGTCCACTCCAGTGTCTTAATCACCATTGAGAAATCTATAAAGACCCTCTCATACTGTATGATAATGTAACTTCTTTCAGGCTATAGTGTCATATTTATGCATAAAGATGGCTATTAAGGGACGTTATGGTTATGTATGGTTGATGCTTACCCTCGACCGCTACTGCCTTTATGCATGACAGGTCCCGTTATGCATGACAGGTCCCGTTATGCATAATGGTGTCGAGATGCTTTGGTAGCTCGTTTTGGTTGTTCTGATCAGGTCCCGTTATGCATAACGGTGTCGAGATGCTTCGGTAGCTCGTTTTGGGTCATTTCTGATCGTTGATCTTGCTTCTTGATCAACAAATCTGGCCTCATTTGGATGAAATATCTAGGCCTGTTCCTTCCCTCTGGACTTCCGCTCCTTCTGGCTCTTCTGCGGCCAAATTTGTCCCTTGGCTGGTTCCTAGTGGTTCAAACCATCACGTGCCTTCTACTTGCCCAGATTTTCCTAAGTCCATCGTGTGATTTTCCTAAGTCCGTCGTGTGATTGTCCTAAGTCCGTCGTGTTTACAACATCAAGTCTATGATTTCAGAGTATGATCAAGATTGTGATTCATCATGCAGAGTGTCTCAATATATACATGATTTTGTACTAAGTGAATGCTACTACAAGTACAAGTAATGTATGGACTAGTCAATAAATCAATTTACTTCAACCTCCTGCTCAAAAGACATGAGATGAGCAAAGAGTGGAAAAGAAACACATACTTCTTTGGTGGTCCACTTGCAATGGAATGTCTGGCAGCAGGCCTCACTCGCTTCATATTTTGGCCAATGTTGTTGGCCTGTACAAGTTGTGTTGTCTCCATGCGGACACGCCCAGTCTTCCTGACTGCTGGAGGAACCGCCACGTCAGTGACAATTGTTGGAGCGAGTGTTTGAGGAGCTGCCATTGGAGCGAGCGTTTGGGGAGCTGCCACATCAGCAACAATTGTTGCACCGACCGTCGGAGGAGCGTCAGCAACAATTGCGTCCACAGATTCCGAGTCCGTGCCTAACGGAGGCTGAGGGTCATTGGAGGCTTCAGTGATTGCGTCTTCACCGGCTGAAGATGCAAGGGCAAGGTCCGCAGTAGCTGCAGCTGCATTGCCCCCAGATTCTGTGCCCAATGGTTGTGGGACATCCAAAAAGGCGCCGGCTGGAGCAGAAATCGGAGGGAAGTTGAATTTGGGAGCCTCAGAGGCGATGAAAGGCGGCAGAGAAGGCTGACTTACATCAGATGGAGCTGTCTGGTCAAGAAAGCTGTCGAGTATATCACGAGATCGAACGTGAGGAGGAGAAGTGTAGTTTTGTGAATCACGTGCACCGCGATTCCATGAGGAGATTGGCGAAGAGGATGGTGAGTTGAGGTATGGCATAAGAGAGGTCGAAGATGAGGGTGGAACATTCAAGTTATCGTCGTACATATCGAAGGTCGGTAACTCCATGTAACCGCTGCTTCCACTGGCACACAAACTAGCGAAGTCAGGAGTATCAAAAGAGAGTAGCAAAGATGCAATCGGGGCAGATGCAGGGGGTAACGGCGCATGACTGAATACCTGCATCCCAGGCTCAGGGACTCCTTGCTCAGCTCCAAGCACCAATGTATCTTGTTGAGAGGGCGTTGGGGGGACATAGCTGAGTGCCCGTGTCTTCCTCATATGTTCCGCTTATTTATTAATCAGTATGCAGTATGAATGGCCAAGGGAAGCGAAGCTTACGGAAAAGACACGAGACAAACGCAGTGAACGGCTTAAGGTGTCTTTCATTGAACTCGGGAGTCGCTTGCATCCAGTTTTGACCCTGCTCATTCACTCCAGTATGGTAACTTTAAAAAAAAGAAATTTATTAGCAGACATTTGACACAGCGGTGTGATTCAAACTCACCTGATGACATTGATGTCACCATTGTAGCGAGGGTCAGGTCCTGCACCCATAATTGACCAGTGGAACCCTGTCATCTCGTGAATTGCTTGCAGGAAATGCGCGATAGGACCTGGGCACTCCTCAAGTGCCCTGCAAAATCAACAATCAGTAAGTCAAATTTGCAATCACTATCAAATAACAGCTACTTACTTTGCGAGCTCTGTGTTTGTCCTTTCTTCTGGGGCACGCTTCTGCTTAAGCACCTCACTTGCTTTCGCATCACGTTCTGCTTGCACTGTGGCGATGCAAGATGCCTGAACATCAGGACTGGCAGCTGTGTAAGCTTCTTGAGCTAATTTCCTCATGGCGTTAAGCTTTTCTCCTTTAGTGACGATACTACCGGAATCAATAGCATTTCGCAGCTTGATGTGAACATCAGCACCGTGGCTTGATTTGGCAAATATCTCTGCCACTGTGTGAACTTGAGTTCCCTTCGCCCTGTTTCCGAGCATCTTATGGATTGATTTCATCATCGCGTTGACTGATGCACGACCACCCCTTTGTGATCAGTAGTTAAACCATGTCCTAAGTTGCTGTGTGGTGGGTGATCATTTGTGAATTTTAGTCCAAGACTCTGAATTATGCCTACCTGATGCCTTTTTTTGACCGCGATCCCTAACAATTCATTCTGCTCTTCTGTTAAGGATTCATGGTCTGGAACACCAGGGTACATGATGCTGATTTCGGGCCATTTTTCAAACCAGGTGCGATAAACCTCAGTCCAGAAGGCTGCCAAGGTTGCTTCGAGCTGTGCCTTAAGGAAATCATTGTACAATCCCTGCAGAAATTCCTTTTGTTCGGCTGTCACCCATTCTGTCCCTGCCATCTAGCTGCATTGTCTCGTAAGTAACATTAATAGAACAAAATGACACACAGCTTACGGGTTGATTTTTTGAAAATGTTGGTGTACGTGAGATTTCAACCAGTTCTAAGCTTAAGGTTCGCCGCGCTAACCACACAAATAACTTCTTGACATTTATAGACCAATCATCTCCCAGTACTTGGGTTCAGCGCGTGAACAAACAGCAAACTGTATTCTGCATTACAAGTATGAACCGATTGAATGAAATACATAAATTTAGATATGGATGCCCTTCTGGTACATCAACTCTCCCATTGAGTGGGCAATTGTCAACTTGGAAACCCCTTCAATGTTCAAAAAATACTGAATGTCCTCCAGATAACCAAGCACAGTGTTTAAGTAACGCGAGACTGATTCAGCGGCGCGAGACTGAGCTGACACTCCATAGAAATTCATGATCTGGTCCTGCGCAGGAATTGCATGGCGGAGTAAGACTTCAACCTTAAGTTTTGGACTGTCGACAATTGAGGTGTCACCCTTGCCATTCCCATCATCCGGAAGGCTTTTGACATATTGAAGGACGACACCCTCCATAAATGCGCAGGGTTCTGGGACTAATGCCAGCATCTCATCCTTGATGTTTTTGATAGCAATGAGGGACACTTGGAGATCAAATCTGTGGGTCATTAATTATGTTTCATTTCGTCTATTTATAAAATATGATGTCGACACATACAGTTGGTCATTCTCGTTCTCATCATCGTCTGCCTCCGTCTCGGATGTAGTAGCATCTTCTTCATAATCCAAGGCCTCGGCAAGAGCTTTTTGAAGTTCCAATATCTCCTGTGATGGCTTGCTGATGCGAAGCTCTCGCTGCCTTTGAAGTATACTGTCCCTGTTTCTTTAATTTACTTGGTCAGGAACTAGTGAGGCCGTAAAATGTATAATAACTTACTTTGCATAGTGATGCCGGCGTCTTTCACGAGATGCCTCTAGTTTGGCCTGATCTGTCTTGTAAATGGGAGGACATGCCATGATGGTGTTGGTTGGGAGGTTGGGGATGTTTTGGTTGAAAAGAAGTACAGATTGCTTTTGGAGTGTGGTCGGACGATAACTCGTGCATTCATAGCTACTACAAGAATGTTAAGTCCCTTCATGCAAGGGTCTTAGTTGGTATTTATATAGAATGTATCAACTTCGCAAACATGGTCTCATTGTATTACTGCTGGATGATTCAATGTACTAGTAGCTTGAATTCTCTTTCAATGAAATTGATCTTGATCAGACGAAAACCCACTTCAGTTAGATGAAAACCCACTTCTGTGGTCGGACAAAAATGAGCGTACAAAGTAGACTAGATATGATGGCATCCTGCAAATTTAAAACTAAATAGATACAGTCTCGCTCTCTAAGAATATTTAATAATCAGGACTCGCCTTCATGCACATGAACCACAATGAAATAATTTGACATGGGGCGGGCGTACTAGTGCAGTACAGATTAGTGCACGTGACCTCATGTGCTTGATCGGTACACTTCAACCAACCAACAACTAACCATGGGCAAAAGCCAGCGGCAAAAGGAGCTGGCAAAGCTGCAAAAAAAATGGTATAATTATACTCAGGAGTATCACACTAGGCAGCAGGCTGGACGTCAACATGCTGCAGATGCACGATTGGCCGAGGAAACAGGCGACAACCAAATTCTTCGCCATAAACATCAATCATATACCATCAGAGGACCTAGTCGTCTGTCTACCTCAACAGCATATATCAGCAGTGCACCCATACCCTCTCAAGTGACTTCAAATATAATGGACTCCAGGTCAAGTGATTTCTTTTTTGATTTCAATGACAACGAGGACATCGCATACGCGATCTACAATGAACACATGGCCGAAACGATGACAGAGCCCAAAAAGCGCGGGCGCACTGCTGCAGTATGTATTTACATTGATTATATTTGCTGACTTACCGACACGGCTTATTCAGGATAATCCTATTGGGCTCTGGCTCAAGGAATGCGAAGCTTACCTCCTAGAACTTCTCCGGTTGGAAGGCCATGGCGACTACATGTTCACTGAAGTCTGTCCGGGCAGCAGTGAATGCAATGGTTGCCCTGAGTATCGGTGTCGGGATTGTTTTGGCACAGCTCTCTATTGCAAGGACTGCACAGTTTCAAGGCACCGAGAAAGTCCGCTACACAGAATCCAGGTTAGTCATTTATGTGATTGATTGTGTATTATATACTGATGACCAGGTAATTATGAAGCACTGGGATGACAGGCATTTTAAATGCACTAGCCTGAAAGACCTCGGTCTCCAGATACAACTCGGCCATCCAGTTTGGGGGAGATGTTGCAACCCATCGCCAGCGTTTCACGACGATTTTGTCGTTCTGGATGTGAACGGTGTTCACCCGGTTGCTATTGACTTCTGCGCCTGTAAAACTGCTCAGTCTTCTACCACCCAGCTTCTCCACGCCCGTTGGTTCCCAGCGACAACTATAGACCCCAGAACTGCCGCCACTTTCCGCCTACTTCACCATTTTCACATTCTCACTTTCAAATCGAAGGCATCTGCCTTTGAAGTCTGGCAGACGCTCTCCAGGCTTACGGATAATACAGGTCTCAGTGCTCCGAAGGTAAGCAAACGATTCCCTCAAGTATAGATTGCCTTGCTCATGATCGATGGACAGGATCGCTATGAAGCGTTATTGAGAATGGTTAGAGAGTGGCGAAATTTGACGCTTCTCAAGCGGTTTTGGCGAGGACATGACCCTGCAGGTGTTGGTGCCACCCTGGAAGGATCTTGCACAGTCATTTGTCCAGCATGTCCTCAAGCCAGTAAAAACTTACCGCAGGGTTGGGAAGACGCCCCTCCAGAAGTTCGGTGAGTGAATTACCTTGTGATGTGTCTTACTTACCAACATTTGTACAGATGGCACTATGGACTTTTCCTCACAATCGATGCGAACTTCCGTTTAGCGCGGAAGAACGTGTCCTCAGACAGCGTTGACCCCAGTCTTAGCAAGGGGTGGGCATATTTTGTCAAGGAAGATGGATACAAAGCATTCCTTCAGGATGTTAGCAAGGAGCCACAAGAGGTACGTGCTCCACGCTCTCAATTTTCAGACTTAATCACTAACCTCTTTAATTAGAAAAGCACTTGTGTAAGCCACAGCACTGTCAATCTAGCAGAAACCAAGAATTCCCATGGCCTCACAGCAACAGGAGCCGGGACTGTTGACTGCGCACGTCACAACTTCAAACAGCCATGCGCTGTTGGCAATCTTCAGAAAGGAGAGAAGTACGTATTTATTTTTGTAATTGCTTCTCGTCTCTCATAAGACCATCAGATATATTAACATGGATTTCTTATTCTTCTCGACGATGCAGCATGCCAAGGACCTTGTTACCTTGAATGTCTCATACGACATAGCCTGTCAATGGAGCAAACATCTGTGGGAACGCATGGCTCGGTACCCCAATTGGATGCATGTCGAACATGGCGGCAAAATCACGACATTTCTGGTTCCAAAGTTTCACTTGCCCGCTCATATTTTTTCATGTCAAATCACCTACTCACACAATCTGGTTAAAGGCATGGGCCGTACTGACGGTGAAGCTCTGGAGCGCGGGTGGGCAAACATTAACCCTGTTGCTACCTCCACACGCGAAATGGGCCTGGGTTCTTGACACGACACACTCGACGATCATTTTGGCGACTTCAACTGGAAGAAGGTGACCAATCTTGGTAAGTTCGCATTTGTATTACTTCAGACACTGGCTAATCAACTACTAGGTACCAGTCTATTACGAAAACTAAAGGCTGCTATACCAGAACATTACCAACATCAGCGGGACTTCGATGAATTCAATGAGACACTCATTACTGAACGTCCGGAAGAGGTAGGAAGATGGAAACAGGGAGTCAAGGAATGGGAAGCAGACATGTCAGCAACAAACCCTTTCAGCCCAATGACAGCAAGTAAGTTGTCCATAGTATCTACACATAAACCTCTACTGATTCTTTAGACGTGACACAGGCATCAGTCAGGTTGACCCTCTCTCAGGAAGAGAGTGAGGAGCTCGAGTGCGGCATCAACAATTCCCTCCACAATGAAATATCGCCAGCCGTCCTTATCTCATCCGGCATTGGCATTGAAGACGAACAGTAAGATTTTTAAATTCACCCACCTTGGTCAATCATTAACAAACCACTCCCCAGACGTCGACTTCTACGAGACCTTCTAGTGCTTCGTGACCATGCGACTGATCTTCAGTGTTTGAAGCTGCAAGATTGCATGAATGTACTGCAGCGCAAGGTTGATCAGTGGTGTCAAGTTCAGGTTCTGTACATGCCCTCTGTGGCCCCCATCAGAGCTGCCCAAAGTACCGACATGTCAATCAAGGAGAAGGCACATCAAATCAGGTTATTCCTCCCTTCTCAGCTCAAGGAGCACACACCAGATGCTATCTGTGACAAACGACTTTGCCGGTTCGAATGGGAACTGCGCTGTGCGCAAGCGTTCGATGCATTGAACGACCTCCGCCAGCATCTCCTTCTTCGTACCCACCTGTATAAATTCAAGAATGTCAATATCTGGGGTCAGCGAGCCAACACATGCGCCGCTACCGTGTTAGGAAAGGTCGAGCGCAATGTCACAGAGGCTGGTGAAAGGTACCGTCGTGCGCGAACCGCATTAAACTACCTATGTGGAACACTTGCAGAGGATGGCTGGCAGTAGTGATGGACGGGTCCGGTTTGGTCCAGTTCTCTGGCAAATTCTGGGAACCAAGAACTGAACCTATGGTTCGGTTCTCCCAAAAAACAGAACCATGGACCAGACCATCGGTTCAGTCCAATAACGGTCCAGTTCCAGTTCATCAAGGGTCCAAACCCTGAACCGGACCATTGAAATAGCACAAAATAGTAGCTACACAACAAAGAGAAAATAAAACTACTCGCTATCTTCATCTGCATCATCATGGAGGGCAGCAATCAGTGCATCCAAGTGCTGCTCGGCATCACTGGCAGCGGAGATGTGACCATTTCGGTACGCACTCTTCAACAACTGCAAGCTCTCAAAAATGTCTGATTTGAGATGGTTCCGTCGCTTGGTTCCCGTCAATCCGCCACTTGAAAAGGCACGTTCCAAGGGTGTAGAAGAGCCTTGTATGGGCAAGTAGTCCCTGGCCATGCGTGAAAGAGTCGGGTACTGCGATTGGTGGTGCTGTACAAATCTTCGTTAGTCAACTCGTATGCTTGTGATAGCATAAAAACTCACCCCCCACCAACCTACAACATCATCAGTCTGCTTGAGAGGACTTCCAAGATAAGCCGTAAGTTCAGCGCAAGGGTTCAGCTTGGTGCGATCTGATGCGAGATGTGCTTGCACAGCTGCAAGCACCCATGAACGGCCATACTGACCATGCGAGTCAGATGTCCCTTGTTCGTTGTCGGCCTCTACAGCAACAGAGATCGGGGCCACATAGTACTCATCGAACTATGGATACACTAATCAGCCTGTGACGACCACACAAGGAAAAAAAATTTACCACTTGTTTGAGCCTATTGAGGCCAACATCGAATGACTCCTTGTCCCACTGATGTTCGGCATATGCAATCTTGACATTGGGGTCGAGTGCTTCAAAGCCGGTAACTCATCAGTATCATCATAAGTGAAGAAGTAAGAACATACCAAGGCAAATAAAATATACGTTGGTATCCTTCGTTTTGTCATACCACTTTGCAACATTTTCCAAAGCCTTTTGAATGGCGTCACTGACTTTGGAAAATCGCGGGAGCTTGGCCATGTTTTCCCACGACTTTTGTAAAAATTCAAGGACAGGAATCGTCCGCCAAACAGAAGGGTCGTGTGAGCTAGAAAATGTTTGTGTAGCACTTGCTGGTTCCTACCATTGTTGTCAGTGTATGAAGAATATAAAAAAATGTAGCTAGTCGTAATGACAAACCTGTAGAACCTCGTGCATTAACCTTAGCTTTTCCCAGTCCCTTCTGTCGAGTCGAAAATCTGCATAGGACTTCCCTTTGAGGTTCGGAACATCTTCGCTGTCGTCAGCAAGCTCAACAAACAGATTAACGCCCTAGTGAGATACCATAATTAGCTTTAAGTTTTAAAACATAGTATACGAGAGAGACGTACCTTCTGAAGCAACAGCATGCGTGAGATGAAGCTATGCATTGAAGCCCAGCGTGTCCGCACCCACTGCATCAGCTCGAGGGTAGGAACATCTGCCTGCTTACACAATTGAGTAAAAAAAGCGCGAGCCTGTGGTGATGCACGAATCTGTAATATGTATTAGTCAGTAGAAACGAGGGCTGCAAGATAGCATACCTGCTTCACCAGTGCTAGCGCTTTTCCGATTGTGTCCCCAATTCCAAATTCCTCGTCATCATCATCATCCTCCTCCTGGTCACCCTCGACATCAACATCCTCCAAGTCGGCCTCTAAAGCATCGAGATCGACATCTTTACCGTCCAGCTGAGCGCATTTGAATGCTGCCTTTATCTTTTTGAGAAGCTTGCGAGCTGATGTCGGCGAGACAGTGGTGACAAAACATCCAGCAGCAAGGTTAATGGTATGTTCCATACATCTGTTCGAACAGTGAGATGTGCAAGCATATAGATGCGAAAACGGTGATCATACCTGACATGACCTTGAACAGGATCCCACATCTTCGCACCAGCATCCTTATCAGCGTTGATGATATCTGCAAAGGTGGCAAGGCACGTGTCGTTGCGCGATGCATTATCACAGGTAAACCAACCAACCTGGTTGTTATTTAGTATTACATAGATTAAAAACAAATGAAAACTTACTTTTGGACGAAGACCGTACCAGTCCACTGTGCGCACAAGTAAAGTAGCCATGTTTGCTCCAGTATGATGTCCTTTGATGGGCGAAAAGGCCAGCTGCTCAGTTCGAAGTTTCCAGTCGTTAGGTTTATCTGGTTGCGCATGGATGTAATGACCGGTAACAGACAAAAATGGATCACCGGGGTCAGATGTCCAAGCGTCGAATGTGAACGAAACTTTTCCAGGTATGTCCTGCAGCGAGTACACTTTAAGATGGTAGATATCACAAAGAGAAAAGAAAAACACCCACCTTGAGAATGTCCTGCAGACATGCTTCAGTAGCCACTGCTTTCTTCATGATTTCCTGGCGAACGGCCTTACGGTGTGGAATGTTGTTGTCGGACAAAGATGGTCGGATGTAAGTTAGTAGGCGACGGAATGGGCCTTTTTCCACGAGTTGGAATGCCTTGTCCTCGCACACAATCAACTCCACAACATAGTCAAGAAGGCCGCTGGTTGTAAATGCAGGTGCGCATGGCTGATGGATTATGATCCCATCAAGACTTTGTTGACTGAAATGTAAGTTAATGAAGTCAAATGTCAGTACGGGATCAAATATACCTGTCGAGGGTTTCAGTTGTATCAGACTTTGGACATGCCCTTTTGTTCAAGGGAATGTCTAATTTCTTGCAATGTTCTTGATAAACCTTGATATGGTCGGGATGCCTGTATTCTGTCGTCAGCGTGAACACATCAATCACTGATGCAGAAAACTTGCCTTGAGATATGAGTACAGAGGGTTGACATGCTACCCTTGAAGAAGCATTGTCTAGCGGCAACACCGTTCTTTCTAGCGAACACAGTTTTAGTTTTAGGCATATTTCAAATAAAAATTGGAGGCCTACTGACAGACTGTGCACACGTGTCCTGACTCGACAAGCCCAGTATGTGGGTCTACGTAATCGTCTTTCTTGATGAAGATGGTACGAACATCTGCAGTTCGTTCAGCCTTAGGACGGCAAGTCGAACCCTAGTTTGTACATGAGAAAAATGTGGATGAAAGTAATGCTAGTGACTCGCCTTACAGTCTGCATCTCCCATAGCTTTTGTTGATGCATATGCACGCTCCACGTCATCCTCAGCTTCGGTGTCACCACCTACTGCATCAAGATCAGTACCACCAATATCTACATCACTGTCGGATTCACCATCATGACTGGAGGTGGTAGGGCTTGCAATAATCTTGCGTGCGACCCGTCGTCTGGTAAGATCGTCGGCAGCTTTTCGTTTACCTTGGGCAGTACTGGATGATGCAATGTTGTCGGGATCAAGTATCCTCATTGAAGGGCGAGGTGCTCGAGTAGAACGACGGGCACCAGCTATGACGGCTGCAGGGGGAGCAGCACCAGCAAAGAATGGGTGCAGCAGAGACTTGATTGTAGATGAGGAGGGGATAGGCTGATCGTCGTCCGCATCGTTGTACCATACGATTTCGGACGCATCTTTCAGCTTGCCGTTTGGGCCAACAGTGCTGTCAGACATCATGAGATGTGTTCAGTCAATGAGAAGTCACTTTGCCAGCTAATATACCTTGTATCTCGTCGAATATGGAAATGGAGGTGATGGGTTCAAGATATCATTCAATGATAGGTCAGGAAATGTCTGTATAATCACAACAAATTACATGAGTCGCCAATTGAGAATCGAACATACTAACTTGATGGAGTGATTCTGAAACATTGTGTTGTCAAGCATGCGTGCCGCTGATCGATAGTAAAGCCTGACGAGCAAAATAAGTTGATCGTGTTACCACGGTCGACAGAGTGTCAAGCAAATCGAACATAACTTGATGGAGTGATGAATTCTGAAGCATCGTGTTACCACGGTCGACAGAGTGTAAATTGAACATAACTTGATGGAGTGATGAATTCTGAAACATCGTGTCGTCAAGGATACAACTGATACTGATATTAGACTACAACATACTGCTTTCAGATCTGCTCTTCCGGTCTGATATATCTCCATGGTTCGAACCTGTTCGAACAGGTTCAGCAATTCCTACAGATCATCGAACCGGGAACTGGACCAACGGTTCGGTTCCTCTCATTGCCCGAACCTTGGACTGGACTTCGGTCAAGTTCATAACGGTTCGAGTTCAAACCACGGTTCTGAACTGGACTCAGCCACCACTAGCTGGCAGACCATCTTTCCAATACTGGAGCCAGCTCACGTGTGCGGAATGTCAGAAGGCGAGGCAGGTCAATCCAAAGGCAACCAGACTCTTTCTTGGATCTGGAAGATGCAGGGCGTCTCAGCAACCGGGGAGGTTCTTGCGGATGGTGAGCTGTGTTAGAGTCCGAACGATCTGAGGGATCAGTGACGAAGAAAACCGAACGATCCGAGATAGTAGAAGAGAAAGAGTGATAAGTCCGAGCCCAAGCCAAAAGGGACTTTGACGAGCGATGCACTGATGTCGGCTCGTGTCCTACAATATGTTTTCCTTTTCCGTTCTGATATATTCCGTTTCTATACAACTTACTATATAAACGCCAGCAGTAGCACGCATCAGGAAGAAACCAAGATCGTCGTAGTCAAGGTGGTAGTTATATACATACTGTAGTGGTACATAGGCCCCATTTAGACTACATAGAGGTATATAGCGCTATATATCCTACACCCACGCTACATACAGCTACCGGAGTTATAAGTGTGCTACAGGTAGCTACAGGTAGCTACAGGAGTTACGAGTGAGCTACAGGTAGCTACGAGAGTTAATACTATGCTACAGGTAGCTACAGGTAGCTACGAGAGTTGATACTGTGCTACATGTAGCTACAGGATACTACATAATTTACCACCGCGCTACCGGGTTCCTACAAGTGCAACCATTGAGTATTTGCAGGTCTACTGAATATACAATGACATCGTTATTTCTAAATAATTGTAACAGATGCACAAAACATTCACCGTCGATAAAATCATTAAGATAAAAATCATTAGCTGCTTCATATGCATTCCCACCTATCAACCTCTGGGCCACAGACACTCCATCTTCGGTATGAGATGGCATGGGTCACATGATATCATCAACATGAATGACTGCCGCATTGCGGCGAAATTGGTTGTGTCGAGCGCGACACTTGTAGCATCCAAGATGAAGGGTCACGAGCTCAGAAAGGTTGTGAAACCATTCTACATAAGCTAGGGCTCTTCGGTATTCGCCAAATTGACGAGGAGAGAGAATATAGCACAGACTTGACCCACTCGCAAACCTGCAGCAGACTATAATCAGGTTGCCGTCAAACCACACAGAATGAAGCTTACCATCAAGAGTACACAGGTGTGAAGTGTGAGGACCATTCGATATCAACGCCATGTCGAATCGAGGAGGAATACCAGGTTTTCGTCCTGAAGCAAGTTTCTCTGGTGTTGCTCTAACCC